CCCATCCTCGAGCGTTGGTCGAGGCGCAAACACGGCGTCCTCACCTACCGGCTGGTGCAGGTTTTGTCCGGACATGGTTGTTTCGGACACTACCTGCACAGGGTCGCTCGGCGCGAGCCGACGATGGAGTGCCACCACTGCGGAGACGTTGATGACACGCCACGGCACACCCTCGAAGTGTGCCCAGCCTTCAGTCGTCAGCGTCACGACCTCACGCAAGTGGTTGGCACCGACCTCGCGCTCTCGAGTATCCTGGCGTCGATGCTCGAGAGTGAGGAGAACTGGAGGGCCATGACCTCCTTCTGCGAAGTCGTCCTGATGCAGAAGGAGGAGGCGGAGCGGGTCCGAGAATCTAACATCAACTCGGACCAGATGCGCCGCCGCCGCCTCGGGGTGAGAAGGAGGAGGTACGCCCACCTCCTTCCGCCCACCTAGGAGGTCAGAGGGCGGACTGGTCGGGGGACCGTCCGCCCTGCTGTCACTGGCCTCCTGGAGGAAGGGCGCTCAAGTTTACCGGAGCGCCCTCACATAGGGAGAGACCCGCCTTAGGAGCGGGTCGCTGTCGCCGGGGCTACGAGGTAGAATGCGCAAGCGACCCCTTGTAGTCCCCTCATAGCGGCTGAGGGTAACCGGGTGGGTTTTAGCCGGTAAGAGTCCGGCATAATCACACGCCCCCCCCGGGGCATGTGGTATCCATGAGGATTTCCCACCCGTTAAAAAAAAAAAAAAAAAAAAAAAAAAAAAGGGTCTGTCTTCTCCATTTATGCGAAAGCGGTTAGAAACTCCTACTTTGAAAAGATATTTGCGTGATAACATCTTTAATATTTTCCTAATATTATGTATAAGATATTCCTATTGTTGATTTTGTGAAAAAAAAGGTTGATTATTATAGTTAAAAATGATTTGTGATGGAAAAAGTAAGTGTTAAAAAATTTATTTGATTTATGAAAGAAGATTATAGTTTTGAGTTTATTTATAATAAAAAATGTTTATAAATAAATTATCTGCAGTTTTAATTATTCAAATATATATGTTAATGTATATAAGACACGATTTTATTCAAATAAATTAATAAACCCCAACTTACAGCTTATTAAAACACATGCGTCAATTTTACGCATGAGTATCTTTTTAGTACTACACAATATGATTATCTTTCTAGGGTTAAGTACATCGTTCATAAAACCATAATTAAAAAACAAAGCATATACAAAATTATTCTTTAATATTATTCTAGTTACGGCTTAGTAACACTTCTGAAGAATGTCTTTTTATAACCAAGTAACATGTAAAATAATAACAAACTAAAAAATTGGCAACAATAACAACAAGAGATTAACAATTTATTAATGTTTTCCATGGTGGAAGCCCCAGTGCTTGTGGTCCTCGTGGCCTCCCTTCTTGCCATGGTCATGGTGGTGATGATGGTGTTCATCATGTCCGTGATGTCCCTTGTGTCCATGGTGATCCTCGTCGTAGTGGTGTTTGTCATGGTGGCCGTGTTTGCCGTAGTGGTCTTCATGGTGACCGGAGTGGTGATGACCGCCCTTCTTGTGGTGGCCGCCGTGATCCTCGTGGTGTTTGTGGTGATGTCCGTGCTTGTGGTGTTTGCCTTCGTGATGGTGTCCATCGTGGAAGTGGTGGTCCTTGTGGAAGTGGTCTTTGTGGTATTTCTTGTGGTATCCGTCGGTCTTCTCGCCCTTATCGTGGTGTTCGTGGTGTCCATGTTTCTCGCCCTTGTGGTGGTGGCCTTTCTCGTGGTGTTCACCGTGGTGATCGTGTTCGTCCCAATGTTTCTTATGACCGCCTCCGTGTTCGTGGTGATGGCCTTCATGATGGTGCTTGCCGTGATGACCTTCGTCACCCTTGTGATGGTGGTGATGTCCCTTGTGTCCCTTGTGGCCTTTGCCGCCATGTTCATGGTGGTGGTGGGCATGGTGTTCGTGGCCGCCACCATGCTCATGTTTGCTGGCCGCCACAGCCTGGTCGTCGGCCTCAGCCTCGTGGGCTGTACACAGCGTCACTAAACATATCACTCCTAACACCAACAACCCCCTCATGATGTATCTTGGTCTTTACCTCGCTATCGGAAGTCCGGTTGTGACTGACCTCTGTACACCTGCCCGTCTATTTTATATTAACAACATGCTATCGAAGTCTATACTGTTGGAATAATATTGCAACAGTTGCAATCAGTTTTAAAAAGTTAAATTAGTAAATCTGCAAGGGTCAAGGTCATTTAAGTCTTGACTTCTCTTTTTTTGTTTCCTGTCGCAAGTTCTCGATTTGAACGTTTCTTTTACTGATTTTTCAATGAGTCTTTGTAACTTATACTCTAATTAAAAGACGTTTATTGCAAAAAATAGTGTTATAATTGAGGACCATATTTCTATGAAAAGTCAGGAAGAGAACAAACAGTAGACGAATTAATATTTATGAGTAATTGTAAAGTAATATCTAATATAAAATACGCATTATTTAATTTTATATTTTTATAGTTATCTTGTTTTTAAGCCCAGATAATATGTCATTTGAATTACTTTTTACTTTTAAAGTTAAATATGAAGGCTATTATTTAATTTCTTTTATATGAAAACAGATTCAATACATATACCACCAATTTTGAATCCAATCACTGCACGTCTAACTAATTATGGAGTATACACATATTGTATATAGTCATAGTAAGTGGATAAATCGAAACTAAATAATGCATTTTTTTGTTACTTTTTGTACACACGACTTTGTATCTATCTTTCTTTTGAAAGAAGTAACTGTATGTTAAATTAAACATGATGAATTAAATAAAAAATAATGGAACAATTATAATATTTTACCTTCATAAATTTTTATATACATTATAGTTTCCCTCACATATTGCACACATTACGATGGAAATTTTAAAGAGAATTTTGTTTTTCTGCACGTTAAATAGGTATTTTTTAAAACTCACATAATTACCATTTTTAGTTTCTCATAGACAACGATCCATAATAATTCATTATATGTTTACATAAGTTATTAATATATATTAAGAAGGGGGATATTACATATTTAGCACGTATTTGAAATGTTATAATCTAACATATCCTTGTACGGTACACCGTAAATAGGTACACTTTAAAATATAGGTACACCTATTTAAAGGTATATGTGCTGAGATTATCTTTATGTGATGAGATATAAAACTTTCGCGAGTATTCATTAAAATAAACTAATATTTTCGGGTTTATCACTCTTTTTTAATTATTTTAACTATCTAGTTAAGTACTACTTTCGGTTACTTTGCAGTAACTTACTATAGGAAAGATTCTCATCTCCTTTGCCAGTGGTCACGCTAACTGCAAAGTAACCAAAAATATCAGTTTTATTTAAATTCGAAAATATTACTTTTATTTCAATCTTTGTATGAGATCGATAGAATTACTTAAATTTATAAAGTTTGAAGTTGCCCGCACTTCATTCTTATGTTTTAAGCTGTGATGTAAATGGTTTTTTAAATAGTTTAATTTATGGTTTGCTCAGTATCTATATAATTCAACTGCTAGTGTAATAAAAGTAATATTATAAGTGTAATAAAAATTGGTAATTATTGTACTTTCAGTTAATTTTGTCGTTACTTTTAATGTCGACTGTACTATACAACTAACAAAAATTTTACCATCACAGTATATTATGTGATAGTGGTGCATGAGGGCGCGAGTCCGAAGCCTGGCGAGTACCAATGTGATTTTTCCGAGTCATAAGCACTTTCTAAGAGTATTTAGACGCCACTGACAGACGGCGGAGGAAGACATCTTAAGGAAACCTGGACTTATAATTTCATACTGTAAGCTTGAAATCACCAACTCGTAATGAGCAAGCGTAGTGATTAGTATTTAATACTCAAACTTTGTCCATGTGAGAAGAGACCTTTGTTCAGCAGTAGGCTTTGATGGGCTGATAATAATAATGACTATATGTGGAGCGTTAGCAGTTTTGCATTCGTTAATCTTGTCACACTATAGTATTAGCGTAGATTATTGAATAAAGAACAGGGAACACTTCGCATTTAGTACGACAATACCAACTCGAGCTAAAGAAACTATTAGTAACATCTAGAAGTAAGTGGGCGTTAAAAGTAATTAAACGATGAATCTTTTGGCATTTTAAACAACTAATGTCGAAGCCCTTCAAAGAATAAGAATAACCCGAATAATATTGATTAATTTATATATTTTGGGATTCCAGTAAATCTCCACACTCTATTGAAGTAGATTTCAATGGGTTCCAGCTAAGTTTTGCCAATTAGAACTTTAAATTTTTAAGTAAATTGAGTTAGTAATATTTAATCTTGAGTATTTTCAGATAAATTCAGATTTCATAAACTCTTACAAGTATTCACGTAAATATTTCCAATTTATTTCTCCTAATTTTATGAAACTTTTTTGAAATATTATGGACATTAATAAAATAATCATTTTGACGAAGGAATGAACTTTGATATTTTATAACAATTATACATTTCTATTTGGAGCCGTTTATGTATAAATACTGCTCATGATAAAATATTCTCTTACGACATGAAGATGGCTGAAGCTATAGCTGTATTTTTTTTATTGTTTATTTTCTAGATGATCTCTCTAGTTTTTTGAAATATATGACTATCACAAACGAGTATGTATATCCTTAGAAAATTTAAATAGTATTCAGGTTGCATTTAGGATTAATATTTTTCTTGAAAATTTAAATTGTTTAATCTTAATTAAACGAATCACTATCAGCAACATAATGGGCCGTTATTTTTATTCACCAGTACCATTTTTTAAAAGTCACATTATTTTTGGCAACTAAAATTAAAAGAGTAGAAAGGAAAATTAGTTTATAATAAAATAATTTTATTCGTGATGTTCTTTTTTAAACATTTTTTACATAATTTTCTTAAAAAAGTATACAAAAGAAAAACATTATTAAATTTTCAACAAGAAATTATAAATAAACAACAGTTTAATAAATTAATATTAGTGCTTTCCATGATGGAAGCCCCAGTGCTTGTGGTCCTCGTGGCCTCCCTTCTTGCCATGGTCGTGGTGGTGATGATGGTGTTCATCATGTCCGTGATGTCCCTTGTGTCCATGGTGATCCTCGTCGTAGTGGTGTTTGTCATGGTGGCCGTGTTTGCCGTAGTGGTCTTCATGGTGACCGGAGTGGTGATGACCGCCCTTCTTGTGGTGGCCGCCGTGATCCTCGTGGTGTTTGTGGTGATGTCCGTGCTTGTGGTGTTTGCCTTCGTGATGGTGTCCATCGTGGAAGTGGTGGTCCTTGTGGAAGTGGTCTTTGTGGTATTTCTTGTGGTATCCGTCGGTCTTCTCGCCCTTATCGTGGTGTTCGTGGTGTCCATGTTTCTCACCCTTGTGGTGGTGGCCTTTCTCGTGGTGTTCACCGTGATGATCGTGTTCGTCCCAATGTTTCTTATGACCGCCTCCGTGTTCGTGGTGATGGCCTTCATGATGGTGCTTGCCGTGATGACCTTCGTCACCCTTGTGATGGTGGTGATGTCCCTTGTGTCCCTTGTGGCCTTTGCCGCCATGTTCATGGTGGTGGTGGGCATGGTGTTCGTGGCCGCCACCATGCTCATGTTTGCTGGCCGCCACAGCCTGGTCGTCGGCCTCAGCCTCGTGGGCTGTACACAGCGTCACTAAACATATCACTCCTAACACCAACAACCCCCTCATGATGTATCTTGGTCTTTACCTCGCTATCGGAAGTCCGGTTGTGACTGACCTCTGTACACCTGCCCGTCTATTTTATATTCGCAAAATCTAGTCTCAGACGATGGAGAAACATTATCATTCCGCAACAATTCAGCGGTATATTCAGAGGTTTAATAAATGAATAGGTTTTTTATGGATGAAGTTAAATTGATTAGCTACAAATAAATACAATATTTGGAATAACTTCATCGAGGTAGTAATAGTACAAACAGAAGGAAAAAAATTATTATGTATGTTGAAGTTAAGTATGATTTCGTATAACGTAGCATGCGTAGAACATCACGTAGAGGACTTATGCAGTTGTAAATAAATTCTAATATATGAGAACTCTTTGATTAACGTTTTAATTTTTATGAGCCTTTTAATTTGGAAAATTCTCTCCATATTAACTGTTGGATCATTGATGTTAGATACATATTCATGTTTACAGTAAAGTTCAATTAAATCTCGTCTCATTTAAATAAATATTGAGACAAATACAAATACAGCAGGATATTAAATTGTTATAATATTTAGTTGCGTGTTCAATAGTTTATATATAATGTAACTAGTAATCAAATTAATTAATCCATTTCGTTTATGTGTTATAGTTTTATAATTATACATATTACATATATATCAGATTTTACTGAAACGTTTGTTTAAAAGTAATATATGTTTATTTTATCGTAAGTACCTATTCCATTATTATAAACACATAATACATCATACAATATTATACACTCTACTCAGCCTTAAATCTAGTAAGTCTATATTTAGCAAATTAATATTAGCTCACATTTTATACGTGGTTTTTAATAATATTTTCCATTATTTTTTTTGTGACACACAATGGATTAAGAATATGATAAATTTGAAGGCTTAGGTATTGTTACTTACTACTGACTTGTAATAAATAAAAAAACATGCTTATGTTTAGTTTATCCAACTGAATGTACGTACCTATACTGTTTACATTATGTTAATATTACAATTGTTTTAAAGGTGACTTTTCATCCCATAAATATTAAATGTAAAATTAAGAGGTAAATTTAAAAGTAAAGCAGCTTGTGAGATATAGTTAGCACATTCACAAACATATTTAATAATCTCACGCTTTATACACTTGATTGATGTGTATAATCTTTGAGCTATCGAAAATTATCTGCTTAGTGGATCCAATACAAAACATCGGTATTTGGTTAGCGTTAAACAATTCTTCCGAGCGACTTAACTTATTTAATGCAGGCCCTTACACCGAACGTCCGTATTTTCTGTACCTTCTAAACACAATGAAAAACTGTTTACATATTCACTTCGATTATACACGCTTACAAAGTAATGCAGATTTTGAAATATTAAATGGAGAATACGATGCTTTCACTAACGGATATGAAACTCTATCGTACTTCTTAATATACTCAGTCAGCTATGGATAATTTGTAAAAACAACAATTATTATAAATTACAAAAAAAACATCATTTTTGGTAAATGTATCAACATTTTTTTTATTCAAACAAACTACTTTCTATTCGTGATATATGTATTGCTATAAGGAAGACTGAATGACGAAATTAAATGTAATTTATTCGTTATTATTTAACAATACCGAGCAATTATGACTAAAGTACCTACAACAAATTTTAAATTAATTTTGCTTTTTATTAGTATAAGTTTTGATGTAAACGCTTTTCAAAATTCAATTAGTATATTATACATAAATAACAATTGCGTTACACGACTGTTCCAAATAAGTTCACGATCGACACGGCCGGTTGACGGTTTTCTAAAGATTTGCTTTCCAGACGCACCGTTTTCAAGGTTGATAGAAACGAAACTATTGTTTGCACTACAATATGTTGTGTAACATTCAATGATGGTTATGTCTCTGTTTTTAAAACGACAATTAGGAAATTAATTTGCAATTAATTTCTATAAATTATTGATTAAAACGTAATATTCTTGCTAGTTTCCTTGCTTGTTATAAGAGACTGACGTGTTCTATTGTTTGAAAATCAGGGAATGTATTTCATTCACAAATATTATTTACATTAAATATATGTATTAAGGAGTCTTATTTATGTTACTTTTCATACATTATGGCGTTGTATAGAATGTATTTAAAAGAAAGTATCGGTCATAGTAGAGGTAATTTACAAGTAAGACCTAGTTTTAATTTAAAGCTAGACTAATGCTCTTAGGGTATCGAGGGCGTCATACTTACCGGTATTACTCAGTCTCTAAGGAGCCTAGTCCATACATACAATCCTGTTAGTCATGAAGAGGTAATGCTATTATACCTGTAATACTATAAATTACCTTCCCTCATTGTATAACAAATGTTATTCGATTAGTAAGTTTTTAAATGTTATTGTTTATAATCTAGAAATCTTTTCTTAGAAATATAATATGTAAGTCGTTAATTTATATATTAATGTTTTTATCCGTGGTTTTGTTTTTTGTACTCTTCATAATACTCATTAATATTTTTAGAAGATTAATTCATTAACACTGACTGCTACTAGAACATCTTTTCTGTCTGTTATTCTTAGAGTTAAGAAAATATATATTAAAATAATTATGTAGGTAAAATTAATTGATATCCTTTCCATTTACTTCGTTTATAGTTTTCATCATTAATGTATAAAAATATAGATAAAACCTGATTGTTGAATAAAAATTATAACCACCTTTAAAGCAAATACAATTAATAAACAGTTTGAGAAAATTCTTAGATGATCTTGTGTTTCGTCTTAGACATGGGTTCACATATTTATGGTTAAATTGTTTTAATGGAAACACTATCCAAAATCTCGTAGAAACTATGACTAATACTACAATATATGTACATGGAATGCTGTTGCTGCAAATGGTTCTTAGCATTCTGTTAAGACACGGCATGCCAACCTTGGTAACCTGACATATTATCAGAGCATCGAATGACAAATATCATGAAAAGCTGAACATTATTTTGCATCTTATTTTAGAGAAAATGATATCTATACTATCAAATAGGAGAGATTATTTGATTAAAACACTCGGCTAATTATAATTGCTATATAATAAACTATGATATAAGTACATACTATTCTATTTAGTTTTAGTACTAAACGGTATTTTATTTACTTTATGATTTGGTAAAACCTATGTGGTATTTAAGTTCAACAGATATTGGAAGACAAAATGTCTGCCGATTGTCAGATACGTTTTACACGATTAATTTTTAAAGATAAAACACAATAATAGGGTTAAGTATTCTTTTCTGGCATTAATGGAATTACATAGAATAAGAAGATATGTAATATTCTATTCTATTCTTAGTTATTTCTAAGTTTTAAATTCATTTACATAATAAGCATATGGCCGTGATATCTAAAAGAATAAATAAAATAACATTGTATGGGTGTTGATACCACACACCATTTAGATATGTTAGTTTATGGAGACCAGCAAGTTTGTGAGTATCGCGTCTAGGTAATGAGAACGACCTGTTTATTTGAACGCTTTATTGATACTGACTAAATTATGACAATGCTTACATTTATATATGCTTATTAATGTGTACGTACAATAAAATTATGTTAATGTATGGGTGAACCCATACATACTCCCGACAGGAAGAAATACAAAGAAAAACTATAAATGCTATGAAGGTATACAAATTATGGTATAAAATAAGATATAAGTAATATTTAAGAAAACCAAAAAACTTATATAAAATAAAGATAAAATGATACAATATTGATAATAATTAAAACTTTACAAGCTTGAAGTGTCTATCATTATGCTTGCATTATTTGACCTATTGCACTTGGTACACATCGGCGATGTTGCTTTGTTCACATAACGCGCACTACGGAATTCACTGCACCTTTCACTATAGCTCGACGCCGTCGGTGGCGCCTCTGAAGGCACTGCCACCCCAGCTCGCTCCATCTTCGCCGTCTGCGCCGCTGGCCCAGGCTGGATCGGCCTACGAAGACGCCTCCAGCCGAATAACAGCGCAGCAATTACTATTATGCTGACGCAAATATATATAGCAGTATAATGATGTACGTCATGAAACGTTATTCTGTCTAGTAAAGGTTCAGTTTTCTTCATGACTTCCAATTTGTTTTCAATGCTCTTAATTTGCATTTGAATCTCAGAAGAGTTGGATAATGTTAGGGTTGGTATTGATATATTCATAATATGATTTATTGGTGCTATCACCGGTACAAATATCTGTGCGTTTAAGTGCATTTCGCTTGATTTTATGTTATGTGCTAATAACGTAAAATACTCTGACTTAATAGTACAATCTCTGTCTACGGTAAATATGCCAGCGCGCGTAAGCTTATGAGTCGTAATTTGATCACCACATATAGATCTCAGCTGACATTCGTTACAACAAAAGTAAATATATGCGTTTGGAGAATAACTCTCAATCCAATGATCTTTGCATGTGGTTATAGTTACTTTGCATTCTGATGTTTCAATTTGGCAAAATTCCTTGTCACTCTTTATGTTATAGATTGGGCTACTTATGTGACATAAATAATTATCAAAATTTATGCATGAATTGATAATGCTCTGAGATAAAGTTATATAAGTATCCCCTTTTAAGTTGATTGCTACATAATTCGATAACGGTATAATGCTAATCATGTTATTTTCCTTTCTATTAGGTATTGGAATAATACGAAATATTTCATATGTGTCTCTAATTACCAATGGTATTCTTATCTCAATTATTAAATATTTTTCTAATATTCTTGCTCTCGATTGAATCAATTTATAAATTTTATTTGTTTGGGTATGAATATTGGGTATAGGCAAGGTGACGTCTTTATATACATAGTTGACTAGCTATGTTACTAAGTTGCTCTCCCAACTGCTTAGGTGTTATTAAATGTGGATTGAATCGACCATGATATATATCTGTAATGGTGTCTAGTAACGTACTCTGTAAATTTTTTAGATTATTAAGCATGTTACTTCC